AGGTTGCTACATCTACAGGCAACATAGGACTTGTCTTCTTTCGTTACTCATCCTCTCGTTACTTCTGTATCCATGGGTGGTCATGGGGGAAGTCAAAACACAAACTGGGAATGTGATACCAGGAAGCAAACCTCACCTCTTTTGTATGTGCATCTTGACATCACGTGCCTTCTCCAATAGGGGAAGTGACTTGCATTGTAATATCACAACAATATGTTTCATCTTTCTGATAAAATCTCCAGATTTTACAGATGTCTTTCTCTCCTGTACCTATCATTTGAAATATATCAACATGCTGCAGATATCCACACATTCAGCAGAGATATATGCAGAGTGAAAGCCTTCACATTTTGAAATTGTGTACACTTTGGCTTCAGTGCAAGCCAAAACCTAGCAGGACAAGGTCTTGACTTGTGTAAAACCCAACCAAAATACAACTGTGTGTGCAAAGGCTTCCTTCCTGCACTGAATGTGTGTGTGTATATACACACAAATACCCCCCACCCTCTCGTACTAGGCAGGGTGGGTGTATTTGTGCTGATATCCATGATTTAGTAATGTCTGACACTTATGTGTCTTCATTTCATACTTTTTCTCTAGTATGCTAGAGGAAGAGCCAAAAGCTTTAAAACTAACTATATTATCTATGATGTCTGAATTGGAGAATTGTGGTTTGTTTAACTGTGACCTGAATCTTACTTAGTATTAAGCTAGTATGGATAGTTTCATGCCTTATGATAATTCAAAAGCAAACAAACCACATTACTGCTTAGATTTAGTGTAATTTCAGCCCATAGTGGGAATTTCTTAAAATCTAAAACAATATTGTGATTGTTTTTTCCTTTTAATCATAGTTTAATAAACCACAAATTCATGAGTTTAGTAGCAAAAATATGGTAATTAATTTCAAAGTGAAAACATTGGCTATATGTCACAAATAGAAAAAATAGTTTCCCCTTATTCATAAAAAGGGCTATAAGTCAACAAGCAGAAAAGTCATTTGAATTAGTCTGCCATAACAGAGAAGACACTACATGGTGAGGTCAAGCAACAGTATCAGCTGTTTAGGGTTTTAAAAGTCAAATTATATCTAAACATAAACCTGTATGAATATTATGAATATTTTGCCATTTCTGTTAAAATCCATAAAGCTTTTGATTTCTTGGTAGTAAGTTATTTATTTTATACAGTTCACTCTTGCTCCATTTGTATTCTAATCGTTTTTCAACTTCCAGTGGAAAACAGTTGCAAATTCTGATTAAAATCTTATATTATTTAATTATGTCAGTATATAAATGAAACCTATTCATGGACAGCCACAGGATAGGATTTGCCTAGCTAACTTTGCTAACTATCTAACTTTGCTTCAGTTTGGCGGATTAGTTAAGATTGTGTGAATTAGAATTTGGTTTTGTGATGTGTAATGAAAGGAGATTTGATAAATGCAAATATGTGATATCTGCTGTGTCAAGGAGAGTTTGAAGTCTTGGAAATACATTAAGGCCTCCCTTTTTACTGACCCACCCTGTCTAGAAAAAAATTCCTCATTCATGACATTTACAAATTTCAAGTCATATAACACACAAGAGCTGAATTTTATCAGGTAGAGGGGCTCAGGTGCCATTTTTTAAAAGCTATACCTTAGAAATATTTATATACAACTTGCCCCACCTATGTCTCCTCTGTGTCTACTGTAGACTGAAAGTAGATTCTATTAACTTGGAATGGTATTTCAGATAAGAAGGTCAGAGATCGGTCAGAAAAAGACCTTTGTTATTTAGAGCTTCCTATGGCTTACCTTTGGGGTAAAGAGTTTCAGAAACCACTTACAGCATTTTTGTACAGGACAAACAACCATGTATCATTATGCGCTCAAGGTAAATAAAGAAATTTAAATTAATTGCTATTTTATTTCAGTCATTTCTCAATATTTCCTAGCTACTACCCAACAGGATTTTTTTCTGCAGCACATGAAGGACAGCATTTCACTGCATTTTCCACTAAACCCAAGAAAATTTCTCTAGGGTTATCCTAAATCATTTGTACTCCACCAGTGTCTGCCTGAAATGAGGAGCTTTCCCCTCCTTTCTCTTCCCTTGCATATTTAGCAATCTCTTTGAATCCTCTCTGTTATTCTGTTACCCCAGTCCCTGTAATTTCAATAAATCCTTGGTTGCATAAGAACTACAAATCCCAGAATTCCCAATCAGTATTGATATATCCGCTGCTCTCCAGATGTATGGGATTGCAGATCAAATATTGCTCAGCTAATATTGTCAATTACTAAGCTAGTTAGGAGTCATGTGTTGTAGTCATAACATATGGTTGCTTTGTGAGATGGGTGGCTACGTAATTAGAGACAGTTAAATAAGAATCAGGAAGGAATCTGACCAAATATGATAGATAATGTACTGTTGATAGATAATGTACTGATCTTATAAAGCAAATAGATTATTCAAGCTTATTCAAAAGAAATCTTTGGTAGCTACAGCCTCAGCTAGTATTACTTCATTTAACTGACATTATCTTTTGGTCATCATCAGCTCTTCAAAAAGGATCAGTGTTTTCATATTACTTTGGAAGAAATGATAAAAAATGGGACACCAATATATATATTTCTATTGAGTTCTGTTGCTCTTATCGTCTATAAATTTAAATTAGATACATTTTTTTGAAACATACAACCAAAGCTAAGTAGGAACTATACTAGAATCTTTCTACGATATGTAATGTTCTTGTCTTTATGAATAAAGAAGTTAATGCTTTGTATTGTATTTTCTCCCTTCAGGCCTAATGATTTGCTAAGATTAACGCAACTCTTTTATATAATCTGTTTTGACTTCAGAAATACATTTTTCTTGATAAAACCCTTTCCTTAACCACAGCTAAACAATATCTACTCTACTTTCAATTTTAAGTGAAACAGACATTTAGACAAACAGTATTAATAATTAAAATAAGGATTTTAGTATAATTCATAAAAAGAAAGCACCATACAAGTATCAGTTGAGTCATAATCCTACTGTGGATGGCTGCATGAGTTTTCTCCTCTTGAAAGTGAAAAAAAGTAAAACAGGCCCCTTGGCTTAATAGTCTATTTGCATTACTTGTGTAAAATGTGTGCCAGAAAAGCATGGTTTTCAGAAGCAACAATAGTTTGAGCAATAAATGTACACAAAATCTGTTTGGTCCTATTGTAAATAATGTTAACATTTATATTGTGTTAAAAGTTAAATTGCGCTGAGAATGTTTAAATCCTAACCAGTCTGTATTGTAATAAACATATCTATTAGACTTACATATACCTACCATTGCTGGAAAAATAAACATGTCTTTCAAAGAACTGTAAATCTTGTACATGGAAGAAATACTACAGAGATCAACAGTATGATATTAATTATTTTAGTTTAAACAGACTGAAATTTGCCACATTTATTACATAATGTTTTACCACTAATAAAACAAAATATTTTTCAAATTGTAGGTTCAAAAATTGTATCTTTTAAACTGTATAAAAAACATTTGCCCACATTGTTGAATCACTATAAATTCAAACATATTAATATATAGAATTAAAAATTTAAATGAAAAAATTAATTGGATGAGTTGTAATGATACCCATGCCACTCTAAGTTTAAAATACTTAAATGTAGCAACACTGAAAAAGGCTAGATCAAAGTAACAATTACAGTTTTATAACGTTAAAAAGTGAGTCATGATTTTGATAATGAAAGAATTAAAGCTACAAACAAATGAAACAGTTGGTGACGAACTACATTTTATTTGACAGCTGCCTAAATTTCCCTCTCATCTAAGAGGTTTTTGAACATTCCCATGACAACCAAGCAGAAAGCAGTTTTATCTCTGTTGCCTCATGAAAGTTGCCTGGGCTCAAATCTTAAGAGTAAGTCAGAAGAATAAGCTCAGCTTTATGAGTTGGTACAATCCATTTATTAAAAGAGACACCTATTTCATATTTCAAAAGTAAAACAAAGATAACACTATATTTACCTCTAAAACTTAAAGCAAGTATGCTAGTCTACTGAAAACAAAGTTAAACAGTAGAAATAAATAGGAATTGAGGTAAAAATTATAGGCCAGTTGACAATGATTCCTTTTTTGTTTTGTTTTCTTTACCCTTGTTAAGATGAATTAGGAATTTCCTCTTTTGGTCTTTTAAAAACAAAATGTAAAATATTGGGATCGAAAAGTCTCTGAAAAGAGACTTTTCCTCCTAAGGATTCCCAAGAACTACAAACAAGAAAAAAAAAAAAAGCACAACTTCGTCTACAATGTAAAATAAAAACTGGTTATAAGAATATTTTAAGATTCCAAAGTGAAAGCTGTTTAGAAACTCTACCCAAAAAATTAAGGCTTTTACCATCTTCCTTGAGGTCATTAATGAGGAAGTAAGATACACCTCTTGCTCCATCTCCTTTTTACCCAGCTCCTCCCTTTTATTTTTTTCAATAAGGTTTTTTTTTTTAACCTGGAACTGGGAAGAGGAAATCATCAGCTACCTATTTGCAAACATCAGTATCAACAATGTCGTTACTAATACAATAGGTAAATAATTTTACTAATACATCATGTAATAGTTGGGGCAGATACTTTTTAAAAATACAGTCATTACTGGATAAACAAGAGTTACTCTCCAAATATTATAGATCTGCAATTCTGCTTGCTATAAAGAGTTCGTATCAATTTATTGTTCGTTAACACAAAATAGCTGGTCAAAATTTGAAAAGAATATTGTTTTATCTTCTTATGTTCGCGTACACTTGCTCTCTCATGCAGAGACAGAGAAACAGAGAGAGAGAGAGAGAGCACAAAATAATACCATAACAGAAGGGTGCTGTATTTGTGTTTAAAGAAGAGGTTGTTGGCAAACAGCACAGCTCACTTCTGCTGAAATGTACACAACTGATCTATGCAGCAGAGAAAGCTGGCACCCAGGGCTTACAACCTTAATTTGCCTGCTAGAAGGAATGGAGATTTACCTTCAGAGCACGTTCTTGATTGTTTTTAGCAGTCAGATGTCTAGGGTTGTTTGCAGAAGTCTGGTTCTGCTCTTTCATATGATGAAGCTCCTGCTCCAGCCGTTTGCACTGCAACGAGGAAAGAATCCCATTAAGTAAAGGAAACGGCATGTATATGTATATGTGTGTGTGTGTGTACATACACATGCAGATATACACTGTGGGCACAATTATTAGGCAAGTTGTATTCTGAAGGATTAATTTTCTTATTGAATAATTACAGTGTTCTCTGTCAATCCAAAATGTTAATAAACCTCAAACCTGAATATTTAAAAAGTGAAAATGAGGTTTTGGCTTTCTTAGGGAGAATATCTATGTGTGCACAATTATTGTGAACTATTAGTGTGCAGAATTAGTATGCAACTAAATGAAAAATGAAAATTTGCCCATCTCACTCATTTATTTGCAACTGTTAAAGTGAGAATAATAAACAAACAACTCAAAATGTACAAATAAACATTTCTGACATTAAAAAAAAAATCAGTGACCAATTTAGCCACCCTTCTTTTCAATAACAGTCATAAGCCTTCCATTCTTGGAGTCTGTCAGTTTCTTGATCTGTTGACGATCAATGTTTTGTGCAGCAGCAACCACAGCCTCCCAGACACTGTTCAGAGAGGTGTACTGTTTACCTCCACTGTAAATCTCCCATTTAAGAAGGGCCCACAAGTTCTCAATAGGGTTTGGTCAGGTGAGGAAGGGGGGTCATGTCATTATTCTTTCATCTTTAAGGCCTTTATTGGCTAGCCATGAAGTGGAGTACTTTGATGCATGAGATGGAGCATAAAAATCATGGTATTCTTGAAAGATGTAGATTTTTCCTGTACCACTGCTTGAAGAAAGTGTCTTCTAAAAACTGGCAGTAGGTTTGGGAGTTGATTTTGAGTCCATCTTCAACCCCAAAAGGTCCAACTAGCTCATCTTTAATTTTTGCTGGCATCTGAATCGAAGTGCAGCTCTGTGCCTGTTACTGATCCAGCCATGGGCCCATCCATCTGGTCTGTCAAGTTACTCCCATCTCATCAGTCCATAAAACCTTTGAAAAATCTGTCTTCAGATATTTCTTGGCTCAGTTTTGCCGTTTCAACTTATGTGTCTTGTTCAGTGGGGGTCAGGTTTCAGCCTTCTGTACTTTGGCCACGTCTCTGAGCACTGAACACCTTGTACTTCTGGCCATTTCAGGTAAGTTGCAGTTCTGGAATATGACAGCACTGGAGGATAATGGTTTCCTGGTAGCTTCATGTTTGATTCTTCTCAAATCTTTGACAGTTAATGTGCATCTTTTTTTCTCAATATGTTTCTTGCAACCCTGTTGACTATTTGCAACAAAACATTTGATGGTTCTGTGATCACACCCCAATATCTTAGCAATTTCAAGAGTGCTGCATCCCTCCGAAAGACTTTTTACAATTTTTGACTTTTCAGAGTCAGTTAAATTTCTTTTTTGCTCTATTTTCCCTGAGGAAATAATTATGCCTAAATAATTATGCACACCTTGATATAGGGTGTTGATCTCCTTAGGCCACAGCCTTCCTCATTACACAAATACACATCACCTGCTATGTTTATATCCAGTAAGCGTTCAGGTTTATATAACTTGGAGGTGGAAAACATGCATGAAAATGATGATACGGTCAAAATACCCAATTGCCTAATAATTGTGCACATAGTGTACACTCATTCATTCTAAGGAATAGTGCACTAAATCAGATTTAAAATGATTATTGGTCATTCTCTTGCTGGACAGTTTTGCAATCATGGAAGGATAAAATAGAAGCAGAATGCTTACCACACTGCAAAATATTAGAAAAATAACATGTAGCTTACAATATCAACATATGCATTGAAAATATAGCTATTGTAAAATGTAAAAATTGAGAAGACATACTATTATGTATAGCATATTGAAATAAAATGAAACAAAACAGATTTTACGCATTATACAAACTGTCTCATGCCATTTAAGATGGCAACTATAAAGAGCATGCACCAAGGAATTAAACAATCGATGAAGTCTAAGACAGGTCCCCAACCCCCGATCCGTGCCAGCAACCGGACTGCATAAACAAGCAAAGCCCATCCACGGGATGGAGGCAGCACACAAAACCACGCCCCCTCCGGTCCTCAGAAAAACCTCTCTCCACGTAACCGTTCCCTGGTGCCCAAAAGGTTGGGGACTTCTGGTCTAAGATACATTCAGCCATCTAATTGAAATTTAATTTCTGGGGGTCCTACTGAAAGAAAAGAATGATGGGGTCCTTCAGAAAGAGCTGGTGGCCAAGTGCACCTTTTTGACTGATGCACCAGTGGTTACAGTTTATGAAGTAGAAGATATAGTCTACATGGGATTACCTGGAAGATCACCACAAAACTATAAATACAGTAGTACAAAATTCAGCAGCCCAGAACTGTTGTAGAATATCAATACTATGGGAACTGCATTGGTTGCCTGTTTGTTTCTAATTCAAACTGCATAATCAGGTTGCATGATTTGATTGTGAATGAAGGTGCTGACTTGACCTGTATAACCAAGACATAGGGTGGCAGGAAGGTGATGCAACCAACTACAAATTTAACAGCATCAGCTGCAAAGTTAGGGTACAGGGTGGAGTGGAAGTTGTCATCTGGGAGGCCCTGATGATTTTCTGCTCCTCTGCTCCTCAGATCTGCTGGTGGTGTAAACAGCCACTGTCTAGGACAGACAGGCAGAACACTAGCAGAAAATATCCATGAACATCAAGTAGCAGTTAGAAGACATGATGAAACTTCTTAATTTCGCAACACATGGGCAGACTCAACCATAGTTTCAGCTGGGAGACTGTGACCAGGCTAATACCAAAAAATGCTAAAGATTTTCTGAAAGTTTGGCATTCAGACAAATCAACATCAATAGATACATAGAGATAAACCACATTTACACCATTCAAAACAGAGAATAAAAAATTAAGAAGGAAACAAAAAGATCAGAACACATCCTCTCCAGCAACTAACACCCAGATAAGCAGAGATTAACACCAGACAAAAAATCAGGAAGTAAACAATACCCTAATCAAGGAACTACCAAGGAGAGAACCATACTCCAACAATACTGACAATACTGACAAGGCAGGCTATTGTACTGAATATAAATAGGGAGTAACTCCCTCCCCCCCCACTAGCAAAAATGATGTTAGCTAGCTAGGTAAACATCTGCAAGCAAACAACCAAGTTTAGAGAGCACCAAAGACTTCACTATTCAACCCTGAGCAACTGCACCCAGTGTTGTAAACTGCACTCAATTTTATCTACATGTGTGCAACTTCATTTCACTTTCTTCCTAATGAATATTCTCTTTCAAAGGTTTTACATAACTCTAGAAATATCTGCTATATGTGTCACTCTAAGCATTTTGTGGGAAGTAATCCACTAAAAAATTATGATTGGTTGCCCAAGAAACAGAATATAGATTATTTAGACAGGCCTGGCCTCCCCATTGTGATGCTTGGTTAATGCAGACATAATTGGTAGCTTCTTCTTTTGACTGTGGTCTGTTTATAGTAAATATCTTATCCTGGATGAACAATACTTAGAATGAGTACTGTATGTATGCAGTTGATTATTTTCTGGGGGTAGTTATAACCAGAATCAATCACACATTCTGTATTCAGACCACATACCATGGTTTAGTAGTTACACTAGTTAGGAGTGAGATAGTAAAGGTAAAATTAATAACTGTGTGCCCACTAGCAAAGTTTGTTGTTACATTCTTATGCGAAGATAATCTCGTTCTGACTGCTTTGCTTAAAATTATAAAACAACAGTGAGATACTAGTGGGAAAGATGACAAAATACAAATTAGACTAGAAGTAAAGAATGTGGAGATCATATTAGGTAGCAGTATATTCAAAAAGGAAATGTTTTATTTCTTATTGGCATTTCCATGCCTTCAACACATTTTTAAAGGGCAAGCATCTTAGTAGATTGCAAAGCAAATGCAACCCTAGTTGCATTACCAGATACAAATAATGTCATAATCGAGGTAAGTCATTATCCCTCTGTATTCTGCTGCATCTAAAATATGGTATAAAGGAGAAAATCAAGATAATAAGAAATCTGGGAGGAAAAACAGAGAAGGAATAATTAGAGGTGTTGGATTTAATGACAGAAGAGAAGACTAAAGGGAAACAGGACAGTTCATGTAGAAGATAGAATAGAACTCCTTGGAGTTGCTCCAGAAAACAGGGCCAGAAACAATTAGTTTAAATTACAAGAAAATAAATTTAAATTGGACTTGGGAAAATTAAAGATTAAAGTCCAAAATATATGCAACTTAAGCATCTTAACATTGATTTTGATCAAACTAGAAAACCGCCCACAATTTTAAATAGTTAAGATGTTATACTTATCGTTCTATTTGCACATGGGCCAATCCAGTTCTCCCTCACTTCCCTCTTTCTTCATCTTCTGGCTCCTGTGTTTTGTGCATAGAATTTCTATGCTACTCACACCATTTTGCCAGTAGCAGCCCGTCTGCATATGCAGCCTTCCATGGGAAATGGCTGTATGATCTGCTTCTAATAATTACTCTAATAGGATTGCATGAACTACCCTTCTTTCAACATGGCAGTAAATCCCACTGAACCCAGAGGGGTGTAGAAAACACATACTTAAAATCATGCCATTAGCAAAAGAAACTAATGATGCTTATTAACAATGATGCTGGAGTAATACTGTGGAAATGTATTGAATGCATTGAATACTAGATCTCAAGCAGACCATGGGTGTTCTTAAATGGTATTGATTTATTTTTAAAACGTCTTTCCATCCAAACTGAGTGTCAACAGACATGACAGACTACAATTCTGTACCCAACAAAAGAGAGTCTAACAGATTTAAACTATTTTTTTTATTATTCTCTTCTGCTTCTCTTTATTTTCCTTTGGAAGATCTGCACATGAAGATAATTCATACCTCAAAGATTTCTAAAGGAAAGCAAGTAGTTTTCACTGTGATTTTTTTTTTAAAAAAAAACAACAGTCTTCTCCTTGTCCCAAATCCACCGTGATTGCCTAAAAGGCAAATATCTCACC